CCGGCGATGCTATACGGTGCTGAATGTTGGCCTACAAAAAGGCAACATGTCCAACAACTAAGTGTAGCAGAGATGCGTATGTTGCGTTGGTTCTGCAGGCACACAAGAAGGGATAGAATCCGGAATGAGGATATTCGTTATTCGAGATAGGGTCGGGGTGGCTCCAATTGAGGAGAAATTGGTTCAACATCGGCTGAGGTGGTTCGGACATGTCCAACGGAGGCCTCCTGATGATGCACCGGTACGTAGGGGAGTTCTACAGCGGGTCGAGCGGGTCGAGGATGTTAAGAGAGGTAGAGGTCGGCCTAAACTCACTTGGGAAGAGTCGGTTAAGAGAGACCTTAAAGATTGGAATATCTCCAAGGATTTAGCGGTGGATAGGAGCGCTTGGAGGCTCGCTATCAACGTGCCAGAACCGTGACTTTTGCTCCTTCCTCTCTCTCTCTCTCTCTCTTTTTTTTTCTCTTTCTCTTTTTTTTTTCGAAATAGGGAACGGCAGCTCCGTCACAACCCGTGGATTTTAGCCTTTCGTGCTCGTCGAGATACGGAAATTATTGAAATAATAGACTAGAGCCCCCACAGATTGGCAGCTGTTGCAGCCCGTGCTCTTTTTTTTTCCCTTTTTTTCTGTGCCGAACGGCTTTTCAACTCCACCAATTATTCCTCCATCCTCATTATTCTTTTTTTTTTCGACTATGAGACATAGAAACCCTAACTTTCAACTTCAAGTCCCCAAACTTAATCAACATTGATTAGAACAATCACAAACACATATCAACAACATAAATCGCCTCAAAACCAACTCACCACAAATAAATCACAAAAATATCAACCTTCATGTCTTTGTCCCCAAAATAAAAGTACCTTAAGAAATTTAACCAAATAAAATTGACTCAAGTAATTTAAACTAGCACGATAAATCAAAACCGACTCTCATGTCATCATCGCAAAATTCCACATGCATGCAATCTCACACTCACACAAGATAAAACAAATATTATGCAATAGAATCTAAGACTCAAACTCTAAGGGGCATAAATATAATCACATAATAAATCATGAATGCACACCAAGAAACCACCTCCCCAAACTTAGAGTTTGCATATATCATTGATACTCAAATAACACAAAAGAACAAAAACAAAGGTAAAAGAAACGAGTTCACCTTAGTCAATGCAGAGGAAGTCACCAAACCACGCACACCATTGGGTTACCTACCAACAAGTGCCTCTTTCCATTGTCGTTGGCCCGACTTATTATTCTTTTTCATCAAAGGATCCATGGCGGCTTCGGAGGTGGCCTCAAGGGAGGCATCAATCTCACCACGCCATGCTTGACGACATCCCCACTCTCCGGCGTTGGGTGCTTAACCAGATCTTTCCTCCATGACGCTAATTCTTCAATAATGTGTAGCAATCCATGCTCAATCACGGTCACCATCTCATGAAACTCCCACTTACACCTTTCGTTTTGCTCGATCGTCTCAAGAGGAGGTATGTGAAGGCCCAAGACATGCTTCAGTGCATCCTTGGTCAACACCCACTTTATATTGGATGATATAAGACACGGTTCAGCTTCTATCGGCACAAGAGCCGGAAGAACGACACGTTTTTTAACTCCAGCAGGTCGAGTATGGGGTACAACAGACTGAGTATGGGGAACCCCCGTACTGGGCTGTTTCGACTCCGTTTTATCTATATTCGTGATTATTTCGATCTCCAACTCGTATGTGCACTCTTCAGGTTTCTCGAGGTCCTCGTTGTACGAATGGATGATGCTCGAACTCATTGGTCCCGTTTCGAGCTGATACACTAGTCGGTCCATCTGTTCCGCTAATTGGTTCATTTCGCCTTATAAATTCTTTATGCTTAGTTCTTGGCTCTTGAGGCTCGTCTCAACACCTTGCTGAAAGTTAAGGGTGTTCAACGTCAATTTCTTCATCATATCCTCGAGAGACGGACTAGGGTCGTTCTCAACAAATGGCTCGGAGTGTTCTTGCAGAAATCTCAATGTGTGAGCCTCTAGTGCCTTCACCATATCCTCGAGCGATGGGCTAGGAAATCTCTCAACTAATGGTTCGGAGTACCCATGGAAAGAGTTTGAGTGCTCTCTAAAGCGGTATTCATATTCATCGGGATAAAAGTAGTCTTGCTCGTCCCTTTTCCAACCACTAGGTCCTCTTACGCCTCGATCTCCAATCCACGGACCTCGTATCTCCCTCTCATACTGGTAAGGTGCCTGGTGGGTATAAAAGTCGTGATAATAGGCTGCCATCTCGAAAAGTTGCGCCAAGATCGATCAAAAACGCCAAAACTCAAGTTACTCCCAAGAGTATGGGAGCGAACTATTATGTCCAGCAGAGTATGGGGACGCCCAGTATTCTGCAAGAAAACAAAAAGAAAAAACAAGGAAAAAGGGGGTAAAGGATGATAAAAATAAAATTCTAAAAAACAATAAACTTCAATTAGTACTTACGAATTACAATTCAATAACGCCAACCCCTGGCAACGGCGCCAAAATTTGACCGATTAAAGAAGCAATAAAAAAAGGGGGGGGATTGAATTTAATAACTAAACTAACTAAAATCCTAATAAAGCAAATAATATCTAAACAACAAAAATAAAATTAAATAAATGAAGAGAAATATCTAGTTCACGGTTCCGTCTACACCCTCGACCGATTCGTCTAATAAACTTTGGTATCAATCTCACTATCTTATGGAATTACTAACCCTAGGCAACGACACGGTCTGTTACCCGAATTTTTCCAATTTAACCGCGAGACGCTCTACGATTAAACCTGACTTCTTGTACAGTCCAGAAAAATGTTTTTAAGATTTAATAAAATTAGCCACTTTATGAATTAGAAAATAGGCTAGACTAAGTAGTGAACTCAACCGCGTTCGTTCACTTAAATAGGCCGTGTTATCCCCGGTAGTTACCGTCTTCCGGTAGACTCTAATGAACTAAACACAACAACAATTACGGATTGAAGGTCTAATTCAGCTGTAGATATGAAAAGCCTAATCTAGGTGATCACTCTAAATAAGACTCAACACATCATAGTTAATTATTCAAAATAACACAAACAATTCCAAAAAGATATTGAAATTATCAACCACGTATATTAATCAAACATCATCAAGTCGTAGGGTTCGACATCCACAGAACTAGAAATAAAAACTACTCTAACATAATAAATAAAAAGAAAAGAAAGAGAATAGAATTATCCCCTTTCGTGTGCGAGTGCGGCCTCCCTCCGCGATTGCCGGATCCCTCGTCAGCTATCACGTCTCTGTTATTTTCCTTTATTCTGCATGGCGGCTCCCATAATAATTCCCTGTTGAAGTGAATATCCCCTCAATGTATTGTATGTGTGAGTTTTTGTCTTCCAAAATAAATCCCTTCCTAATTTGCGTGAGTGTCCCAAGGAAATTAAAACTCTTCCAAATCTTCCATCCAATCAAAACTCCTACCAGGTAAACAAATATGGCTTGCGTGAGTGGCCTCTTCCAAGCAAATAATTGTCCTCTACCTTAACCTCATTGGGCCTAGCTCATGAAATGGGTCCAATTTCTTTTTTAATGTGGCTTATTCGATCCGGTATTCGGGCATCCCGATAAATGCTACTCGAACTCCCGTCAACAGCTTCGTCATCCACAAAAATACTCTAATATCCTAAAAATAAAACATAAATATATCAAAGCACTAGAATCCATCTGAAGAAATAAATAAGTCGAAAAACATATAAGTGCAATAAAATTAAGCATATAGAAATACGCTAATAAATATATAAAATACACACTTTTTCCGACCAATCACTCAAAGTAACAGTGGTAGTGGAGTCCCAACAGTGGTTGTTGATACTCAATGTGAGGATGCCAATGAAGTCCAAACAGAGGTTGCTCATAGTCAATGTGAGAGTGACAATGAAGTCCCAACAGAGGTTGTTCATATTCAATTTGAGGGTTGCAATGAAGTTCCTGCAAATGTTGATGATAGTCAACCAAATTTTTGCAGTCTAAGTCACACAACTTGAACCTACTCAGACCTCTCAGGTGAAATATGTACTATATTCCTTCAATATATTTACTCCATTTGCTGAATTCTAACATTTCTTTTAATGGAAATATTTCAGGTTGACAATGTGGGATCATCTGCTAAAAGGCTACTTCAACACCCTCCATCAATGTGGGACCAGCTACAAGCCCAAAAAACAAGGTCATCTGGACCTGTTGAAGGTGGCCGAAAATTTGTGACATTAATTCAGTTGCATGCCACCCTAGATAAGATGAAGGAATCTGTAAACTTGGACAAGGGAAAAAGAAAGAGAAAAAATATCTGATTTGTTGTGTTAGCTTGGGAACTGTGGACAAGTTATTTTTGGGCAAACATTGATGTGTTTAGAACAATATTTCTGTTTTGGTTTTGTTTTTTGGTTTAGAACATATGACTGGAGATGTATAGATTTTGGTTGTTTTGGAAATTCTGTGATTAGTTATTTGGTTGTTTTGAACTTGGCTGGGGATGTATGATTTTGAAGTTGGCAAATATGGTTGTATTCTTGTGGTGAACATGTTTGTCTGTTAATATTAATGTTATTGTTAATGTCTGGGGATGCATGTCTTAAACATGTGAACAAGTTTGTCTTTTAATTATGTTTTCTTGTATATGTTTGTCATATTCCATAATAACTTGTAACAAAACCATCCATGCTTATTTATCATAAGCAAAATGCATGAAACAGAAAACATTATAAACAAAGGATCAGGTTCATAAAAACAAAAGATCATGTTTAAACATACAAAATAGGTCACCATAATTATACATTCAGATTCAGCCACAATGAAATCAAGAAAGAGGAACATGGTACATACATTCAGAAAGAGGAACATTACTAAACTAAACATAAACTAGCATACAGATAAAAAAAATTAAGAAAAGACACCATGAAATCTTCAAGTAAAGCTTCAGCCAGTATCTTTCTTTTTCCAAGGATTTCATCTCCAGATTCAAGGATCTTATTTTCAGTATGGAGCCTTGTTATAATCTCAGAAGCTCGATTGGGAATCGGTAGATCAGCCCAGAAAAAGAAACTACAACCACCCCTCTGATTTCAAAAACATAAGATAGGTAAATTAGGGTTTCTGTCTTGGAATGCATTGAATAAATCAAACTTAATTTGTAAATAAAATAGAATAACCTACATTCCAATATTTGCGGCCATTGAATCGCCTCCCTGGGTTTTTTTTTATGTCCATGACGTCCGCACTTGAGCTCTCTTCCCGCAATGGCAAAACACAATTTCGGAGTTTCCCACTGAAGATGGCATCCCTTAACATGATCGCCGATGTGTGTTGATTTTCTCGATCGAATTGAATCTATTGAAAGTTATACTGCGAGTGTTCACACTAGGGGCGGTACCGTAATTAACCAACTCTTTAAGTGTGAACGCAACAAACCAAGTAATTACGGTACCGCCCCTAGTGTGAACACTCGCAGTGGTCAATATCGAATGTTTCTCCCTATCAATACCCTAATTCTTTATAATTGGGGCAAAGAAATAATGATACAATCCCTTTTTTTATTTCAATTTCATCAGCTATTTTTTATTTTAGTTTTAAATTACGCGTAGGCGGGTTAAAATACACGTAGGCGGGCTATTTTACACGTATGCGGGCTAATTTACACGTAGGCTCATTCGGTAACTCTGACCTGCTGTAGGCAGTCAGTGGACCAAAAAACGAATTTCTTTTCACTTACAAGACTATTTGCAAAAACGGACGATTTGCGGGACCAAAACCAAAATCGAGGCGACTTAATGGGAAGAAAAAACCTTTTTTGCCGAGGAAATGAGATGATACAAATAATATTAATTTTAGAATAAATAGCATGAAGAAAACGTTTTACAACAGAATTTTTTATATCTATGTAACTCTCATATATCATTGAGTGTAAATTTGTGATCAGTTAATATTAATAGTAGCGATTATGTAATAGTATAGTTATAAAATAAACATGATTACACATTTAATTTAATTAATATAAAATGTAATTTCTTGCTTCAATGCATTAAAAAATGAGGGGGAAATTTTTTTATTCGAATTAGTGCCTAGTCTATATCTATATATATGTAATTGCTAGCTGATGCATTTAATAAAACATTTAATAAAATTTATTTTTATTTCTCTCCAAAAGGAGTTACATTTTTTTAATTAATTACTTACTAATCTGCTAAAACCGTTACACCTTATATATATATATATAGGGAATGGTTCAGATGCGCCCCGTTTTTAAAAGTGAGGACGTGAGACATGATCTGGTCCGTTCACCACTCATCTAATCTAACGTTCAGAATTAATTTAGTACATTAATCAATATTTCTGATTTCGCGGGCGGTACGTCTTCGGAACTCTCTACTCTACTTTCCCTCTCCATTTTCACACTTGCTCGTTGTTTCTGTTCCATTCTCTTCCATTTTCGATTTCGATTTCGATTCCTCGGGCGTTACGTGTCAATTTCTGTTTCCGTTTTATCCTTCGTAGTCTATTCTCGCAGATTCTCTCCGATTTCGCTGATTCTCGTCTTAAATTGGTGAGTATTTTTGCTGTTGTTTTTGTTTGTAATAACTTTTTCGATTTAGGTTTTTCATTCTTTCATTTAATAGATTAAAGTAATATGTTTTGTTTATTTTTTGCTAAGTTAGCTGTCTGATACTGCTAGGTTAGTGTATGATGTTGCTAGGTTAGTTATATTTGCTGCTAGGTTAGTTGTCTGATGGTGCTAGGTTAGTTACCTGTAGCTGATATGTTGGTTGTCTGATGTTGCTAGCTTAGTTGTCTTTTTGCATCTAGGTTAGTTGTCTTTTGCTGCTAGGTTAGTTGTCTGATGCTGCTATGTTAGTTGTCTGATGTTGCTAAGATAGTTACCTGTAGCTGCTATGTTAGTTGTCTGATGTTGCTCGGTTAGTTGTCTTTTGCTGCTAGGTTAGTTGTCTTCTGCTGCTATGTTAATTGTCTGATGTTGCTAGGTTAGTTGTCCTCTGCTGCTATGTTAGTTGTCTGATGTTGCTCGGTTAGTTGTGTGATGCTGCTAGGTTAGTTGTCTGATGTTGCTAGGTTAGTTTTCTTCTGCTGCTATGTTAGTTTTCTGATGTTGCTAAGTTAGTTACCTGTAGCTGCTATGTTAGTTGTCTGATGTTGCTAGGTTTTTTTTTTTTTTTAAAAAAACAACGCCCCGGAAGGACGGGGGATTGGGCTGGATCCCCAACCTGTGCATAGATCAGGGCCCCAAACACGGGAGCCCAAAATGTCAACGAACCAGATACAAAGGTCTACATAGTCTGACAATCAAAACCAAAAACAAAAGAAAACCAAGAAAGAAAAACCGAAAGACGAAAAAGAAACAAGAAAAAACAAAAAACCTACAATATAAAGACGATCTTTGGGCTAACAGATGCCCGAGATAAATGTCTATACTAATGAAAGTAGAAATCCTATACTAGTGAAAGCGGAACGCTGGATATCCAAGCTGGTCCATCCGAACAAGAGTGCGAAGGCGGAGTGGAGCAGTGTCGGTCTGGAATGTATGTGTGCCTGGTATGGTAGCGCCAAGGCTGGCCAGGTAATCAGCCGGTCTAAACCCCTCACGGAAAATGTGCGTGATCCTGTGATGGACTGACTGAAGTAGATCTCTAATGCGCAGAAGCGGGTGCTGAATCTGCCACGAGCCCTGATGGCTCGAAGTCAGGAGGGTAGCGACAGCCGCAGCATCCAGCTCGATCCATATATGACTAGAGAAGTGGACAGCGATCTGAACGCCAATCTGTAGTGCCTGAATCTCTGCATCGTAGCTCGAGGAGGCCTGAATGGACACGTGGAAGGCGGTAACGAGGGCGCCGCTATGGTCCCGAATCAAGCCTCCTCCTCCGGCAAGTCCAGTGTGGCGATCGAAGGAGCCATCAGTGTTCAGCTTGACCCACGGAGAGTCAGGTCGCAGCCAAACAACAGCTTTGGCCCGTGGAGGCCGAACAGGCGGTGGTGGGGCCACCATGTAGCGATGCGGTGGCGTGCAGCCTGTCCAGTCTCGGGCCGTGAGCCTGCCCAAAGCGGTGAGGAGTGAAATGTGTCTCTCTACCTGCAAAACAATGTGAGAAAACATAAAAGTAATATCCCTATGCTTCGCACTATTCCTTTCTGTCCAGGTGAACCAAAGGATCAGACAAGGAATGAGGAAGCCCACGTGTCTAAGGTGTGTGCTCTGTGAGAAAAAACTCAGGAGCTCAACAAAACTGTATGTGGTGGGTAGGGATATATGAGTCCAAGTGGCAAAATGCTCCCACACTCTCCTTACAATCTCACTCTCTAGAAAAAGGTGGGTAAAGGTCTCAGTCTCATGGCGTCCAGTCTCAAAACAACACACACACCGAGAGGGGAAGGGGATCCCTCTCGCGTGTAGCACAGTATCGACAGGTATCCGGCGTAAGAGGAGGCGCCAAAGGAACACCGAAATAGTAGGCGTGAAAAGGTCACTCCAAATAGCCCCGAAGAGGAGATTAGGCCGATCCCTCAGCCTTATCTGCTCCCAAGCCGAGGTAGTAGAAAACACACCTGATGATGTAAGTCTCCACCTCATGCTATCTGAACCGTCCCCCGAGATAGGGATCTGCTGGATCTGATCTAATAACTGCTCGCTAAAACCTGCACCAGCCCCCAACTCCCTATCAAGCTTCCCCCTATCCCACGACCCATCCGTCCATAGGTCGCTCACGAGCAGGTAGGGGGAATGCGACACCTGCCTATCCCTAGACAACGGTCTATCACCTACCCACCACTCATCCCAAACACTGACATCTCCCCCGCCCACAACCCAAAAGATGTGATCCTGGGCTCGCCTCCCGACCCTAGTGAGGCGCCGCCACTGTCTGCTATCATGATCAACAGCCGTGACCCAACAAGGGTGGTTAGCACGTCTAGGGCAGTACTTGCCGCGAAGGTACTGAGCCCAAAGCGACTTTCCTTCCCTGAAGCGCCACCACAGCTTGTATGAGAAAGCTGTAACAATGTCCCTAAGGCGGCGGATGCCAAGGCGGCAGATAGAATCCCAACTCACCCAGTGAGTACGTCTCCCCCTCCCAGACCCGTCCTCATAACCCCAGAAATAACGAGCCATAATATGGTCAAGCTCGTCAAGAGTAGACCTAGGGGGGTCAAGGACCATAAGCAAGTGAATCGGAAGAGAGCTAAGAGTGCTCTTGATCAGCGCTAGCCGACCACCGAAAGAAAGATATCTATGTGACCAACCAGAGATCCTGTCGATCATCCTCTGTCTGACGCCCGCAAAGAGCGCTCTCGTGAGGTTGCCCTTATATAAAGGGACCCCGAGGTAGGTAATGGGAAGGTCGCCACGCGCAAAGCCAGTAATGTCGTGGACCCGCTGAGCCCACCTGTCCACGGTGGCAGATGAAAGGATGAAGGTGCACTTCTGCACACTGACCAGCTGACCGGTGACCAAGCTATAGTGCTCCAGAAGGCGCATAAGCTCGACCAGTCCATCATCATCCGCCCGGGTGAAGATAATGATGTCATCCGCATAAGAGAGGTGAGAGACGGTAGGACCATAGCCACAGGTGCTATAGGTCATGTGGGGAGAGTCGCGGATGAAGCCGTCAAGGCAGCGAGAGAGGTAGTCCGCCGCAAGAACAAAGAGGGAAGGGGAAAGGGGGTCGCCCTGTCTAAGGCCTCTAGAGGAGGGAAAGAAATCGGTGGGGCTGCCATTAATCAGGACCGAGAACGTGCAATGTTCCACACACGCCTCCACAAAGCTGATCCAACGCTCAGGGAATCCCATCCTAGCCAACGCCTCCCTAAGAAACGGCCACTCAACCCTATCATACGCCTTAGCCATGTCTAGCTTCAGCGCGACATTCGGAGCCCGCTTTCAGTCCGCTCGGGAGATGTCGTGGATCATCTCCTGGGCCAGAAGGATGTTATCACTAATGACCCGATCCTTGACGAATCCACTCTGGTTCGGAGAGATGAGAAAGGGGAGAAGAGGGGAAAGACGGCCATTAAGAATCTTCGAAATGAGCTTGTTGGTCACGTTACACAG